ATTTCTTGGTTGTTCTACGCCCATTTGACGGAATGTCGGAAGCCCAAGGTCAGGATCTCCGTTCTCTCCTTCAAGGGGATCGTGAAACGGCCAAAAGAGCTTTGATCGCACTGGAAGAGGCTTCAAAGAGGGTTGAATCCCATATAAAAGAAGAGATGGAAGAAAAGCATGGATTCGTATGGAAGGTTAGCTGCTCATGGTGCAAACCACATCGGCAAGCATACTTATTCTGATCAGATCTGGACAGGGTTCCATCCGATTCCCAGCCTAGAGTACGGAAGCCTCGTCGAATGTGATCCTCATTCATGCTGACTAGGCGATGAAAGTGTTCTGCATCTTCATGTCGTTTCATCCGACCTATGTGGCGTCGGGCTCACCCAGCTAAAGTACTACAACGGGTTCAATCCTGACCTTGGGTTCTTCCTTCCTATAGATGAAGTACTCGGGTGGTTTGAACTTTCGAATCCCATATACCGCCAGGTGAGTATGTCAAACCTATTGTGCAGAGGAGCTAGCTCCACTCATGCCAAACTTGACCCTGAAGAAAGTACAAGCACCAGCGAGGCAATATCATACTCTCTTCCGACCTGCGAAATGCTGGAGGTGTCAAGAGGTCTTCATCAGCGTTGGTCTTCTGAAGACACATCTACAAAAGGAATGGGAACAACAAAAGGAAACGTCCATCGCTGACTCTGGAGTACAACAACAAACAACTGGACTTTAGACATTGACCTACCATAGCATGCCGGAGTCGGTCACGCTGCTGAAGCCGTTGCACGAGGCAGTCTGCAGGTCGTGAGGAAGCCTGGAGGATGGTGACAAGTGGTTTGATTTTTATCAGTTTTGGCTAAACTACATTTCTGTGTAGTTAAGAGTCAAAACACTGGAATAAAGTCTAAATCACGAGGCGGCGTCGTGAATCCAACAATGAGGATGTGAGGGCATGACATCGTTATAATACAGCAAAAAGAGGAATGAAAAACAGATGTGCAAGCAGTAACGCATAATCAGAGAGTGTTGGATCTAGCTCTCCTCGCAGTAGTAAAAGCACGACAAAAAAA